TTTTGCATTTTTTGAAAAGCATACTTCAAATCACATTTATAATTTGCTAATATTATATATTTTATAATGATGGAAGCTAATAAAAATTTATTTAGTGACATTGATATTATTGGAATTAATGATGTTAATAAAGCAAATTTGCTCAACATAAAAAAAATTCAACAGATATAAAAAGCATTCAAAAAATTTGGCGTTCTTTAGCGTATGCTGCTGATTCAAAATGACTGTTAACTTATTAGCTTATTTAGGTGCCAACTTGTAGGGGCTTAAACAAACAAGGATATCAATGCCAGTTGTGTAGTGCAGCAGTTCACAAAAAATGCCATGAAAAGATGATCAGTCAATGTCCTGGATCTGCAAAAAATACCAAAGAAACAATTGTAAGTTTACTATTTAACATTTGGAGACTAAAATGTTGTTTTTGTAAGTGAATAAAAGAATACAAATGATATTCTTTTATTTTTAGTTTCTTCAAGTTTTTGTTGAAGTACTGAAAAGCATATAAGAAATTATATATTATTAATTAATTATTCGTTTATAATTGTATGCAATTTTTATTCCAGTACTTGAAAGAACGTTTTAAAATCGATATTCCTCATCGTTTTAAATTGTATAATTTCAAAAGTCCCACATTCTGTGATCACTGCGGATCGCTACTTTATGGCCTTTTTAAACAAGGAATGAAATGTGAAGGTTTGCTTTATGACCATTTCAAATGCTGCTGTTTTTATTTAATTTGTTTGATTCCAATAACATTAAGTAAGCAGCTAACTAATTATACTACCAAATATATCATATATTAGAAATATGGTGCCAATTTCGTTTAGATATAAAATAAATTTTTTGCTCTTAAGAAGAAACTTTTTCAAAGCATTAAGTTTGTTTTGCATTCATTAAAAGATTTAAAATGCCACAGGATCCACTTTATACGAAATTTTCAAAGTTCTTCATCATTACTGATCGAAAAAAATGAGTTAAAAACTTAAATTTTATATAAAATTGGTTGCGTACTTCGAATTTTAAATTTTCTTAAGTATGTACGGTAGTGTGTCATCACAAATGTCAGCGTTACATGCCTAACTTGTGTGGTGTTAATCAAAAGCAGCTTTCCCAAGCGCTTTTTGAGATCAAACGTGGAAGTCAAGGTCAAACAAGGTTGCTTTTCAGTCCCATTCTCTTCATATTTTTGCAATTTTTTCGTCATAAATTTTTATAATTAGCTACCTTTTGATGCATAGCATGTGTTAAAGCAATAATTGATAATATATTAGAAAATGTAATTCTAATTAAAGTATGATTAAATAACTATATGAGAAATTTCACGTTGAAATTTTGCATTGAAGCATGTAGTAAAAATATTGAAAATGATAGATTAAATCGTATAGTAAAACCAGTAATATGGGTGCATTGATGTATACCAGTAATATGGGTGCATTGATGAATAGAATATTTATAGCGCATGATGCAGATTACTTAGAAACATAATAAAATGTGATACTGCAGCACGCCGGTTGGTGTTGGTTCAGCTGCTGCATCAGTTGGACCCAGTGTAGCGGTAGAAACACGTAGCGTTTCATCTCCTGTAGGAAATGGTTTGGCTGGCAGTGGCTGTAAATTTCCTGACCGTTTCAAAGCATTTTTTCGCAATCATAATTATAACTTGGATAATCAAAATGATAATGAAGAGTAAGTATGCTTCATCTAAAAATAATATATCGTTTACAAATAATTAATATACTTCAATACGTGAAGAGAATATATTCACAATCATACTCTCCTTGCATGTGATCAATCTAATTATAATTTTGTTTCAAACATTTTTTCTGTATACTTTATTTCTTGTATATAAAATTAAAAATAAATCTTTCTATTTCATCTTATTCTATCCTGTCCTATTGATCTGTTGTTATATTTATTTATACTTATGAATTTATTTTTGAATCATTTTTTTTACATTGCAGATTTTCGCATTTCATTCTTAGAACTTTTATTTACTCTTCTATTTGATGTGGCTGTAAGTGAGTGCAAGTAATAAACAAATTTGCAGCAAGTTGTTTGCAAAATGTATTTCTCATTAAACTTATAGTAAATATTTAAAATTAATTCCTATAAATTAAACGAAATTCCACAATATAAATAAGAACCCATCAATTCTGAAATTAAGCAAGGTTATGCTTCTTTTATTTATTGTCAATAAGTAATAAAAGTGCTTGCTTTCAAGCATTTATGAGACATACAGTAATACTGATACTGATACTGATATTGATATTGATATTGATATTGGTATTGATATTGATATTGATATTGATATTGACACCATACAGATACATTAATGCACCGTGGAGTACAGCAGATGGCACCAGAAAGTACGGGCTACATCATTTCAACATTTGTAAAGTACTTGGAAAAGGAAGCTTTGGAAAAGTTAGCTCTAAAAATAAATTTTAAAAAAATTTTCATACTTTTCACATTTCATTTTGATAATTAATTACTCCTCATTATGCAAAAATAGTTTTTCAGTGTACATTCTTCTAGTTAATAATATTCATTAAGTTCAAAAAAATTTAGGACTTCAAAATTATAGGTACTATTAGTGGAACTTAAAAATAAAGAAGAATATTATGCGATGAAGTGCTTGAAAAAAGATGTAATATTGGAAGATGATGACACTGAATGTACATTTATCGAACGACGTGTTCTGATCTTATCATCTCAATGTCCATTTTTATGCCAGTTATTTTGCTGCTTCCAAACAAATGTAAGTTTTGGTTTATCACATATCAAAGATATCAATTAATAAACTTCTTGAATATATATGCAAAGATAATCAACAATTTATGTAATTTTTTACAAATGAGATATAGTATATCAGTAAAAGCAAAAGAAATGACCATATTTTAGTTAATTTAATTAATGTAATTCTTGTAATGAGTGAAAAAATATCTATTTATTGAGGAATATCTGTTTTTTGTCATGGAATATCTCAATGGTGGTGATCTCATGCATCATATTCAAGCTGTCAAGAGATTCGATGAAAATCGTACTCGATTTTATGCCTGTGAAATCATCATTGCCTTACAATTTCTGCATTCAAAAGACATCATTTACAGGTATATTATTGAAAATTGTTCTCAAATATATCATATTTAGCTTAATGTATTTGAAATGGCTTATTTTGAAAAGTTATAGCTTTTTAGAAATTTATTATAAAAATAGAGATTTTATTAATACTAAATGATAAATTAACAAATTAAATATACACTAAATATTATTTTAAGTATGCAATAAATATTTTGAAGTTAAATAAATTTTCCTAGCAAATTTAGCAATTTATTATTGCAATGATCTAAAAACTGTCGCCTATTACATAATAAGTTGTCATTCTTTCTTCTAAATTCCATAGCTAACAAAAAACGCTTAAATAACTCTTGCATATTTATTATATCAAAGAATTCTACATAAATTTTTGTCTTTAGCTATAAAAGGTACGCTTAAATTAGCGCTAAAATGAATGGATTTAATTTGATAATTAAATTTATCTTGCGTTTATTCGCGCGTAGTAACATTTCCAAAAAAATACTGATATTAAATGACATGAAATAAAATGAAATGAAGCCCAGGATTTTTAAAGCTATCGGTTCTACGCCAAAAATTTGTCAAACGTTTTCAGTTATCTTTTTGAATACAAATTTCAAGTTAAGTTATTATTGCTTTGTAAATGCATAAAATAAATTTCTTTTTCTTTTTTTGCAGAGATTTAAAGCTAGATAATGCTATTTTGGATTCAGATGGACATGTTCATCTAGCTGATTTTGGTATGTGTAAAACAGAAATGAATCGTGAAAATGGTATGGCATCAACATTTTGCGGCACGCCCGATTACATAGCACCTGAAGTAAGGCATAGTTAAGGATGAGTGAATTTTGATCTAAATTTAAATTTATATATTGTTAATGGAGGTTAAAAATAATGTGTTATGCAATGTATAACATAAATTACTTATTATACTTGAAAAAAATTGATCGGCATTCAATATTGTGAAAAAAAACAGCCGTCAGATTAACTGATCTAATTATAATTCAAGATATTAAAGGTCAGACATGTATTTATATAGTTTTCAGTCATATTTCTCAAATAATCAAGGATATTTAAAAAACTCAGTTTTCTGTCTTTTTTTGCAGTCATAATTTGAATATTACTGTAACAGATATGCTATCGTTTAGCATTATTCAAAAAAAAAGACATATGTGGGTACGTTCATAAACTTCGAAATGCAAGTAATACCAGGTTTTTATTTTTGTATTTAAGCTGGTTATAATTTTAGATAATCAAAGGTCAACTTTATAATGAAGCAGTCGACTACTGGTCATTTGGTGTTTTAGTAAGTGGAATTTTTGTATTCAAAAAAAAAAAAAAAA